CACCATTTCCCTCCTATTTTTTAAAAATTATTTTAAAAAATGTATTTTATTGATTTTTTACAGAGAGGAAGGGAGAGAGACAGAGAGCCAGAAACGTCGATGAGAGAGAAACATCAACCAGCCGCCTCCTGCACATCCCTTACCGGGGATGTGCCCGCAGCCAACGTACATGCCTTTGACCGGAATCGAACCCGGGACCTTTCAGTCCGCAGACTGACGCTCTACCACTGAGCCAAACCAGTTTCGGCTCTCTCCTATTTTCTCTTCTACTTCCCTAACCCTCTTTCCCTCTGGTGATCACCACATTGGTTGTCTGTGTCTATGAGGTTTCTCTGTTGTTGTTGTTTTGTTTAGTCCCTCTATCTTTTTCACCTAGCCCCGCAAGCTCTCGCCCTTCCTCTGACAACTGCCAGACTGGCTCTCTGTCTCTCTCCCTTCCTCTCTGTTCTCTAGGAATCTGTTTCTATTTTGTTAGTTTATTTTGTTCATTAGATTCCACATATGAGTGAAATCATATGGTGCTTGTCTTTCTCTGATGGGCTTATTTCTAACTTCCTAATGTTCTCCAGCTCTATCCATGCTGTTGCAAAGGGTAAGATTCTCTTCTTTTTTATAGCTGAGTAGTATTCCTTTGTATAAATATGCCACAGCTTTTTTATCCACCCATCTACTGATGGGCACTTGAACTGCATTGCAGTGAACACAGGGGTGCACATATTCTTTTGAATTAGTATTTCGAGTTTCTCCAGATCTATTCCCAGAAGTGGAATTGCTGGGTCATAAAATAATATTTTTTATATATACTATTTCCAGGAATTTTCTTGCCTGTCTGTGAAAGTATATATTTTAATGTTGCCAACTTCCATTGAAGAGCTTTGGAGACTTTGCCAAGGCAAAGAAAAAAAAAAAAAAGGTGGGTGGAATAGTTGAAGAAAAGGAAGAAACAAAATAGAATTAATTCAGAAGCCTTGTAGCTACTACTGTGCTTAAAGGGCATAAAGTCTAGTTGTTGATAGTTTGAAAAACGGGTTAGTATGTTAAGATTGAAAGGAAAGCCCAGTATTTCAAGAAAGGTTCTCGGGGGAAGGACCGAGTTTAACACATTTCCTGCGCATTTAGCAAAGGACCTACTGAAGCAGTGAAAACACTGGGCAGGAAATGTGTTCTATTGCACAGAGCTTTCTGACCCATAAAACAGTCTGCAATGTCCCTACAGAGGAAATAAATCTCATGGTTCACCCCGGAAGTGACCAGAGCGTGGGGAATAGGATTTGGTTCAGAGTCTTGTATTATAGGGGCATAAAGTAAGAAAATACGAATCCCATTAGTTCTTGCCTGTGGGGAATTGAGCTCCTACATAGGAGGCTTTAAGAATACTTGAATACTCTCGGTGCATTTCCTGAAGTTTGGTTTTTGTCTAAGTAACCAGCCAGGCATCTTTTGAGGGTGCAAAGGGGTTTTGGCTCTTGGTTTTGACTTTATTTTCTAACAGAATATTCTTTGAATGAGGTTCAAGTTTACTAATGCCCTCTAAGCAAATTAATAAATAATATAAGTTAACAGTGTTCTCGGGAAGATGGGATTTTTTTCAAATTATAAGAGAAAGTTTATTTAGAAAGTTACAGATGTAGCAGAAGAGCCCTTGGAGCTTAGAGAGAAAGGCAGAGGTACCACGCCTGGGAGGAAGAGGATGGGGAAGGGAAAGGTGCCTGAGGACTCCCTACAGCACCGGTTGCCGCCTGGTGGTCCGTGAGGTCTGAAAGGCTGGTGACCGCTGCCCTAGAGAAATAGCTGCCCACAGATAGCATTCCTGATATGTAAATTTGTAAGGGCCGTTTAAAGAGAATGTCTCTAATATGGACCTGCAACCCTCACCCAGCTTTTATCCTTTCCCAACTTATAGAAATCCTACACTTGGTGAAACAGTCTGTTCAGAAATAGCGGAATCTGATCAAGAAGTGTATTGGTCAGGATCATTGAATACGTATACAGTGTAATGGCAGGTCATTGAGAATTCATTTCTTGAACACCTTTTAGGAAAGAAACCTTCCACAAGAAAATGTGGTTCTGGTGACCAGATAGTTTCCTTTCAGGAAAACATAGGAGAGAAATGATTGCAAGTCATCCCAATAATGGGATTGAGGTCTTTATCCTTTACCCTTTTATTTCTTATTTATATACTCTTATTGATTTCAGAGAGGAAAGGAGAAGGCGAGAGAGATAGAAACATCAATGATGGAGAGAGAATTATTGGTTGGCTGCCTCCTTATGCCCCCCACTGGAGATGGAGCCCACAACCAGGGCATGTATCCTGACCGGGGATCAAACCTGGTTCATAGGTCGATGCTTGACCATTGAGCCACACTGGCCTGGCAGCCTTTACCCTTTGAAGGCTGCTGCTGCTGCTGCTGAGGAAATTGGGGCATGTACATGAAAGATGCACAGCTGAATAAAGGGCAGTTAAAATCCACAGGAGCAGAGATCATTTAGGTTTAAAAAAGTATCTAAGATTAATTGAAACTGGAGGCTACTTTTAGGTACTTTCGGATACAAAGACCCTGTCTAGTCTTGTGGTCCAACGGAACGTTACTCATTGAAGGCCAAGGAGCAATGTGTTGGGAAGGGACCTGAATTACGCTTGATGCTTTGAACACTATTTCTGACAGCGTCAGAGAAAACTGTTCAGTGGGAGAGGATATGACCCACGTGACCAGGATGCAGGATTGAGATCCACAGGTCGGTTGATTGAAAAGCCTTTTAATCCCAGTGGGAAGAAGATGCTTAGAAGGGACAGAAACCTAAACCCCTGACAGGGATGTGCTGATGAAAGGTTGCTGCCAGTATCGCTTTCTTGGCATGGGGAGACCAAACCAAGACAGTCGGAAGGCTTGATCTATGTGGGTCTGCAGTTACTAAGGAGAAATGAGAATCAGGAGGCTCGTTTGATTGACAACGGACTTAACTGACTGTGCCGCATGAATGAGGAAAAGAGATTCATACAAATTCTGAGAAGCCGTGCAGGTAAGGGAGGAGTTGAGAGTTCTCGAAGAAAAACAGCTAAGCTAGGTCATGGATCAGGGAGGACCCACATGGACATTTAATCTGAGCAGGAGTCCAGTTTTAAAAGGAAAAAAAATGTAGCTATCAAAAAGGTAACGGAAGAAAGGCCTTATTTCTCTGGTAACTATTTTTCTCGCTAAGCCAGTTGAGAGGGTTCATAGAAGGACACTGAGATTTGCTGGACAATAACAGTCCCTGAAAGAGAGACTTTGATTTCTAGGATCAGCTGGGATCAAAGATGGGGCGGACAGATCCAGTCTAGGCTCGGAAAGATCTGCTGTAAATCTTGACTGTAAGCGAAGAGGATTCACACCGATTTCCTTTCTGGCAGTCTGTGGGAACTCTGCTGTGCCAATTAAGGGCATTTACTTCACAGGATTTCAAGTAGCATGCCATCTTCAAATTAAGGTATTAGCCAGAGTACAAGAAAACCAAAGTTTTCTCCTTGCCTCAAATGAAATAGAAAAGAGCCAAAACCGGTTTGGCTCAGTGGTAGAGCGTCGGTCTAAGGACTGAAAGGTCCCAGGTTCGATTCCGGTCAAGGGCATGTACCTTGGTTGTGAGCACATCCCCAGTAGGGGGTGTGCAAGAGGCAGCTGGTCGATGTTTCTCTCTCATCGACGTTTCTAGCTCTCTATCCCTCTCCTTTCCTCTCTGTAAAATATCAATAAAATGTACTTAAAAAAAAAAAAAAAGAAATAGAAAAGAAGTCAAAAGTAGAGCCTACTTATTCGATGAAAGTTGTCACAAAAGAATTGTTGGAATAAAGAAAGAGCCTTCTAGACCCTTTTGTCTCCAATCGCCACAATAAATATCGGGTCTTTACAAAAGGGCTGTAAACACACTATGGGCGGTTTTCCAGATAGCGACCACAAAATGAGGAAACTAATTTTGTTGGTGCTTTTGTGCCACAAAATTGCCAGGGTAGGGGAAGAGAGAGCTAATGTCTTAGGGAACTCGGAGGCGTTCTCAGCTTGTTACGTGTATCAGAAGCAAACATATGAGAGGGTGTTTCCGGCCATTGCCCCCGGGAGCTTCCCTAGTTCAGTATTTACCCTCCAGCCAACTATCAAGACTTTCCTCATTTCCAAACTCAGGTGAATAAGGAGGGTATTAGATTTCCCCCTCAATCACAGCACAGGCGTGTGAGGGGTTTGTGGAGAGTTGGCGTGAAGCCACAGTGTGTTATCTGCCTGCCGTTCCTACCCAAAGGTTTTAGATCTTCACCAGCCTCTTGAGCTGGCCATGCTTATTACTCTTTTGTCTTTGTTCTTTGCAGCCTCTCCATGATTCTCTCATCATTGATGTTTCTATCTCTCCCTCTTCCTTCCTTTCTGAAATCAATTAAATATATATATATATATATATATATATATATATATATATATATATATATGATTCTCTATAAATGAATCCTATATTCTAAAAGAAATGTGATCGTGAATATATATGATGTTAGGAGAACAGTGTTAATCAGATAAATCATATAAGAGTTATCCATAAATAAACTCTAGGAGAGGTCTGCGAACCCCAGACATTGTAGACAGAGTTTTTGGTTGGTGAGTGCATTTTGGGAGGAAAGAATCTTCAGCTTTCATCACTTTCCTAAATGGATTTTTTAAATCTCAAAATGGACAGGAAAGACTGGTTTAGAAAACTCCATGGGTTGTAGGTTCATATGGGTCATTGAGGGGCATTTGGAGCTCTAGGCGGTGCATCCTGGAACTGTGAGTGCGCAGAGGAAGCTGTTCTGGTTTTCTCAGGAAGCACTCCGGGGACTGCATGGCGGCGTGGGGCTGGTCTGACCACTGGTCGATCTTGCATGCCATCCTTGATGTTTCCTCTCAAATTAGCCACATCAGTGGTGAAGGACTCCCTTTCCCATGGAATTTATGCCTTTCAGCTGTGCATCTCATGCTCCCCTTGACTTTATTTTTCAGATGGGAACAGCGAGAGTTGCCCAACGGCCGCGTCTATTATGTTGACCACAATACCAAGACCACCACCTGGGAGCGTCCTCTTCCTCCAGGGTAAGGCCTGGGCCAACAAGCCCTGAAACTCTAGCGCTGGCGCCAAGAATCACCCAGTGGCTTCTCCACCACTGACTGCTGTAGCCTCCTCTTTATTTGCCCCACTTTCTTCTATGCTCTCTCTCTCTTTTCCCTCCTTCCATGGTCTTCCCCTTCTATATTTTTTCCCCCTCTCCTCTCATGCATTATATTGGCCATGACCGATGGCCCTGGGCTTTAGTAAGTGGTATTCAGAGCTACCGTGGCTGTTGGATCTTGGAGGAAGGAGGGCTGAGGAGGCCTCCTGGGCCACTGCTGCCTCCGTGCCCTCAGTCTTTTCACCTCCAGAAATATCCTATCAGGGCCAGGTTTTCAGTTTGTTTCCACAGAGGTAGCAAAGTTCAGGGTTCCTTGATTGCTTTCCCTACTCACTTACCTAACTCTGATCCTCTTACAACATCCTGGGATTTTTAGAGCATCTCTGAGAAAATGGGGCATAGGGAGGCCACGCTAGAAAGAGCAGCAGTGCCCCTCACTGCTCCCTGTGCCCAGCCAGCCCCCGAAGACAGTGTGCTTCTTGTTCAGCTGGGCTTTGTGAGAACGTGGCTCAAGTTCTCCAAAACCAGAGGATGAGTGAGGCTTCCAAGTGAGAGAAGACTATCCAAGTTCAAGGAGAAGAGATTTGGTTCCCTCTCTGCCAGGGACAGAAAGTTCTTTCCACACGTGTCTCCTGATCCTGAGAGCTTTCACAAGGGAATGTATTCTGCCCTCAGGAAAGCATCACCCCCAGTAAAGCAGCCACGAAGGGCTCCTGCATAAAACACGAACGCTTCTCCCTCCTCAGCTTGCCAGGGAGAGGCTGTCAGAGGCGCAGAGCTCCCTTGTCTTGTTTGGTTCCGCTCTCAGGGTTTGGCCAGGTAAATACCACTCGCCTTCTGGTCCTACAAATTCCCATTGACTGGCAGCTCTCAGTTTGTGATCCGATAGAATGCTTCTATTTTCCTTAACCTTCTGGAAGTGACATTCATAATCTGTCACCCTTAGTCTTCTCTGTGTTTACTTATCTGTTTTGTGTGTGTGTGTGTGTGTGTGTGTGTGTGTGTGTAATATGTTTTTATTGATTTCAGAAAGAAGGGGTGAGAGAGAGATAGAAACATCAATGTTGAGAGAGTGAGTTATTGATGGCTGCCTCCTGCATGCCTCCTGCTGGGGATGGAGCCCTCAGCTCAGGCATGTGCCCTTGACTGGAATCGAACCTGGGACCCTTCAGTCCAAAAGCCCACACTCTTTCCACTGAGCCAAACCGGCTGTTTTCTACTTTGACTTTAAGTCCAGTGAAGTTACTGAAGTGAAACGTTGACTTCTTTGGGAAAAAAGTAAAAGTTTTATTATGGAAATTATATTACTATGGAAATTTTCAAATATGCACAAAGCATAGAGAATCCCCGCATATTCAACACTTAGCTTCAATAATTACCAACTGATAGCCAGTCTTGCATCATCTATACCAGGGGTTGGCAAACTGTGGGCTTGTGACAAAATCCAGCCCTCCATTTGTTTTTGCAAACAAAGTTTTATAGGAACACAGCCACACTTGTTTGTTTATTTACCACCTATGGCTGCTTTTGTGCTCAACAGCAGAGTTGAGTAATTGTGACAGAGTAATTGTCCATATTTTATATATATTTCTAAAAAAAAGTTCTCTCATTTAAAATAAAACTACCATATTGTTAACAGTATTTCCTTGCTATCATCAGTCAGTAGTCAAATTTCTCCAATTGTGTCACAAATTAATCATTGCCTTTTATCAGGATGCGTTGCACACTTGTTCTTTGTGTATTTAACTGCACATCTGTTTAAAAGCAGTGGTGACTCAGTACATATGCTGGTAGTGCCTCTTAACCTCTCAAGTCTATAGTTATATAGGCCTTCACCTGGTGAACTTTTGGATGGAATCTAAATGAAGATATTTAATGATATCTTCTAAGGATGGCTGAGATTTTACTCTTGTTTAAGGATTGAGGTGGGATACTAGATCCAGCTTTCTTATTTTCAGGATAATTTTAATGTTTTATTGGGAGATGGCTCAGCTCTACACCCACACAGCCTATATTAGTTCTTCCTGAGTTTTAGACCCAGACCTTTGGGTCCCTGGCACTTACTTCCGCTGTGTAACAGGGAACCCAGAGAGAACAGAATGCTTAGGCTTTCATTGCTAGTGAATGGGAGACTTTCCACCCCAGAGAAGCATTATCGTGGTGAGAGCAATCTCTAAACTACAGATTATCCCAGCAGACCTGATCACCGAGGAGTGAGACTGAGCCAAAGGGTTCACTTTATCACTGCCATCCCTCTCTCTCAGACCCATGAGACACTTGTATGACGGAGAGTAATTCTATCCAGCACCTGGTAAGGATGCATGTGTCCATTTGCTCTTTAGGCAATCTTAGGTGGTACTCAGCTCCAGTGGTGAGGAGGAGTCATCATAGACCATGACGTTGGGGAGGCCTCATAGATGCAGGTGGGTCTAGCCTGGTTTTGCAGGAAAGGCTGGAAGCGGACTTAAATAAGAAGAAGGCAGTCTAGGTCGGGGGAACGGTGTGAGTGTAAAAGGTGGGGTTAAGGAACGATGCATGGAACAGTTTTGTTGCAGTGGAAGGTTTGTGTAAAACAAAGATGCTCAGAGTATGTCCAAGGCTCATAGGTTTGGTGGAATTGCTCCCTGAAACCAAAGAAGGAGAGGTGACTCGCCTCCAGCCACTACTCTGTGATGGTGATTTGGGCATAAGGTTTCATTGGAAATCAAGGGTGAGATCATGCTGCTTGGGAGTTTGAAATTCACCAGTGCAGGAGACTTCTACTTAGACACGGGGATTGAATGTGTGTTTATTTCTGTTCCTTCCTGAAAACTCACAAAAATGGCAATAAAGATATAAACCGTCAATGATAAAGGAATGGGAGAGGAGAAACAGCATCTGGGAGATATTAATCAGAATTGAGTTGCTGAGAGATAAGTGGCAGAGCTGAGGAAGCTGAAATCCAAGCCTACAGTGTGGGCCGGCCACCAGGAAGTCAGCTGATTTGCTCTATGGAGCCCTGGAAAGCCTCAGCTATGGAAGATGTGTGTGTGTGTGTGTGTGTGTATGTGTGTGTGTGTGTATGTGTGTGCACGTGCATGTTTTCCCTGCAAGTACAAGAAAAAGATTTCTAGGTTGTCAAGAACCATCCCAAGATCCATTCTATTGGAATTTTGGAATGCCAAGAGAATATCTCAAGAGCTTCCAGAGCAAATAGAGTACCTATCAAAGATCAGGAATCAACAATGCCATCCTTCTTCTCAATAACTATGGAGTATGATCCTTAAAATTCTGGTGAAAAAAGATTTCTGTCTAGAAATCAATTTTCAGCCATTTTACACTGAAGTGTGAGAGTTGAAATAAAGGCTACTTCAGACAGGCAGAATTTCAAATGCTTAATTTTGGTGCGCCCTTTCTCAAAAGCTACTCATGGTTTATTCCATCAGATAAGAGAAAACCAAGAAAGAAGTTATGAGATGCAGGGCACAGGAGACTCAATTCAGAGGCCAAAAGAGGTTCCCAAGAGGAAGGTGAAGGAAGATGACTTAGGACAGTGGTCGGCAAACTCATTAGTCAGCAGAGCCAAATATCAACAGTACAGCAATTGAAATTTCTTTGGAGAGCCAAATTTTTTAAACTTAGACTTCTTCTAATGCCACTTCTTCAAAATAGACTGGCCTAGGCCGTAGTATTTCGTGGAAGAGCCACACTCAAGGGGCCAAACTTGCGAGCCGCAGTTTGCCGACCACAGACTTAGGACAATAATGGAGAGCAGGCCTGGAGGACGCCTGCCCACGTTGCACGAAGGGTTCTGGGAGAGACATGGCTAAGAGTTAAATGACCCCTAGAGACCACCTGCCCTGTCAGAATCTGGGGGAGAATTAGTGTTAGTTTCTTTTAAAACAAGGCAGTTCTTAATTCCAGAGGGGGGAAAAGTTGTATATGCAAGGAAATGTATTTATAGTATTCTATAGTATTCTATAAAGTCATTGTATAAACTCTGAATATTGAATTAGTGATTTTCTATTTGGGAGGACGATGCAAAAAAGGGCTTTGTGTGTATTGTGGGGGTGGTGGGTGGAATACAATAACTAAATCCTCAAATTTATAGTGGAAAGTCCATAAGTTATGTCTAGATGGCAGAAGGCCAGAAATCATGGAATGAGCTCGTTGTTTGGAAGTGAGTATATAAGTAGTAGAAGAAGCAGATGTAAGTAATAGAAGATATAGTCAGGAGTTGAAAGTAGTTGCTTTTGAGGAGCAGGAGTCAGCAATGGGGAGAGGTAGGGCAGGAGACACGGGTTTTTTGTGTGTCCCCTCTAGTACTTTTTGTGTTTTTAAACTATATATATATGATTTCTTTGATAAAAAATAAAATAAGCCTGGTCATTGTGGCTTAGCAGTTGAGGTCGACCCATGAACCTTTAGGTCATAGTTCAATTCCTGATTAGGGCACATGAAGAGATTGCACAAAAGTCATCTCGGAGTGTAATCCTGAATGTTGGGAAGATACCAACCTAAAGCATGATAGTCATTTGAGTGAGGTAAGAATTCAGAGAGGATGAAATGTGAAGGTAATCAGGGAACAAAGTCCAACAGTTTAGAATTATACAACACAATCTATATTGGGTTCTCTTTGCAGTGGACTAGTCCTATTTTATTCAGAGATATTTCTTATCTTTTAATTTAATTTTTTAAATATTTTTTATTTTTAACCACTTTCCTTTCCACCCCTCCTTCATACTTAGAATGGAAAGTTTTGACCATACATCAAATTTGAGAGAATAATACAGTGAGCCCCTTGTAATCCTCACCTGGTTCCGACAATTAATAACATTTTATTTCATCTGACCTCCCAGGAGAGGGGCCAATGAATTTTAAAGCAAATCCCAGACATCATATCTTGTGATCCATGAACATGTGACATATGTTTCTAACAGATGGGGTGTTTTCTAAACTAACCAAAATACCATTATCCCACCCAACAAAAATTAACACTATTTCCTTCTTTCATGTCATACCCAGTTTGCATGTTATTTTTCTTAGTTGTCTTAAAAGTGTTTTTATACTTGATTTGTTTGAATCAGATCCAGATTTAAGATCAAAACATTGCTTTTGGCTGGTTTGTCTCCTAAGTCTCTTTTAACCTATAAGTTATCCAACCTTTTCTTTTCTTTTTTTTTCTTTTTTTCTTTTTCTTTTTTAGATCTTTTATTTGTTGAAGATCATGGACATTTGTCTTGTAGAGTTTCTTATGCTCTGGGTGTGGCTAATTGTGACCTTGTGGTGGTGTGTAACATGCTTCTGTATCCCTTATCTTTCCTGTAAACTGGTACTGTAGTTAGATATGGAGGCTTGATTAGGTTCAAATTCACCTTTAAAACTGAAGTGTAATTCCCATACAATAAGATATACAGATCTCGGATGTGCTGTTTGTAGAGTTTTGACAAATCCATACGCTGGTGTAGCCCATACCCCACCAAAATAAAAAACATTTCCATCACCCCGTACAGGTATGTCCCTCTCTTACTTTCTTTTGCTCACCTCGCCCTTGTGTATGTGGAAATGAAATGAAACCTGTCAAGCATGGCCGAGGTTTTTACCACCTATTCTAGCCCTGCCTTGCCCATGGGAGTTTTAGGACCAACTTTGGAAAGGTTGTTACTCACCAAAGATAATGTGGAGAGTCTTGCTGCCATTTGCACCAACATTCCTATCACCATGCAACATGTCTTCACTGGCACCTTGTATCAGGGTAATTTCAGATGCCAATATAAAAAAAAAAAAAAATGTGGGATCCAAATAGGCTTCAATAATGAAGAGAATTTATTGGCTCATATAACAAAATTCGAGATGGTTTCAAGTGAAGCCTGAACTAGTAGCTCAACAATATCACCAAAGTGCTGGATTTCCCCCCACTTTTCTGCTCTGCCATCCACTGGGCCAACTTCACGTTGTTTGGGTTCAAGATGGCAGCCAATCGCTCCCAGACTGCATGCTTTCTTGGTCATATCCTGCAAGGAAGAAAGACTGCTTTTTCCATAATTCCTAGCAAAATTATCAAGATTCAGAGATTGACCAGCATTTATCCACTTTTGGTTTAGTAAATAGTTCAACTACCGGGTTGGGAGTAGAGTCATCTTTCCCAACCAAAACCATATACATCGCCTAAGTGGGAATCAGGAGCTAGTGGTAAGGAGGGATTGGTTGCTAAGGATGCAACCACACATTTTCTCTATAATCATCTAAGCCTCAGAAGCCTCTGTGATCGGGGCCTGCCTGGCTGTGCTTCCCGCGAGCAGCCAAGCTCCCGTTCCAGACACCACCCTCCACCCTTCTTTGGTCCTTTCTAGTCAATCATCTGAGATTTTGCCAGAATTTGAAGGTAGGGGTGGGGTGCTTACTGTATTCACGCTGAGCTTCATGTTTCCAGCTGGGAGAAACGCACAGACCCCCGAGGCAGATTTTACTACGTGGATCACAACACTCGGACCACCACCTGGCAGCGGCCCACAGCCGAGTATGTGCGCAGCTATGAGCAGTGGCAGTCACAGCGGAATCAGCTCCAGGGCGCCATGCAGCACTTCAGCCAAAGATTCCTCTACCAGGTGAGGGGGCAGAAATTGCAGCTTCGCCTGGTCTCCACTGACCTGTTGGGTGAGCAAGGAAAATGTCAGTGCCCTGACCCTGAGATTTTACTCAACACAGTGAAATTCCTCAAACTCCTGTGTTTCTAACTTAGTAACTCGATGCTCAGCCTCTGTGTCTAAGGACTCAATGTGTCTGAAGCTGAAATCACCATCTTTCTTTCAACATGGGATTTCTCTCTTGGCCCTCCCATCCAAGTCCATTTACCCGGCCTTAGAGCCTGGTCAGCTGTGACTTCTCCTATATCTCACCTTTCAAATCAAAGCAACCACCAAGATACTTCTCTTCCCATTGCTACTGTGTTTCTTTAGGTCTTTATTATCAGACAGATACTCAAGGATGAAAGGGCCTTTAAAGTTCATCTATCAATAGATCAGTGTTTACCAAACTTTTGACATATGTGTACCTCTTCTATAATTTTCATAACGCTGATTACCCCTCATACTCATGAGAACGTAGAATTAGGCGCAGCTAAGCACGATGCAATGCATATCCCCACCAAACTCCGGTGCAATGTGTACCCCCACCAAACTCTTCCCGTACTCCTGGGGGTGCGCGTACCACACTTTGGGAAACACTGATCTAGATCATGGGTTGGCAAGCTATGGCCTGTGGGCCAAACTGACCCTCGCCTGATTCTGTAAATAAAGTTTTATTGGCACACTAGAGGCCCGGTACACAAAATTCGTGCATTCGGCGGGTTTCTCAGCCCGACCTGCACCCTCTTGCAGTTCGGGAGCCCTCGAGGGATGTCCACAGGGAGTGGGCCTAAGCTGTCAGTCAGACATCCTTAGCGCTGTCACGGAGGCGGGCTTATCTGCCTCTCACTGTAGCAGCATCTTTCTGGGGCTGCAGAGGAAGAATTTTGACTTGGAGGGTCTCCTAGAAGTAAAAACTAAGCCCAAGTACTTGAATACGGTTTTCTCAGCATGGTTGGGGATTTAGGAGGGCTCTGCATGGAGGTGATGGTTCCCTTTTCTGCCTGAAACAAGACGCACATTTTCTGGGTCAGCTTTCAATGTCTCCCTGTTGATTTCCCTCCCCCTTGGGTTTGGTTTGCCCCTCTTGTTTGCTGTGGTGCCATGTCCTGGTTACAAGTAAGAAGAGTCGCCTTCACGGAGTTATTTTGGGGTTTGGCCTTGGCCCAGGATTTGACGTGGTAGACTTAAGAGCTGATACTGTACCAGCGGCCGCCCCTCCTCCTCTTGCTCCTGTGGGGCCGAAAGTGAGACCTGTTCTTTGCCGTCCCGCAGAGAACACAAAATACAGTTCATAAAGGAAAACAAGGGAACCCCGGATTGAGGACTCCCGCAGTTCCTTCCTGCCATCTGCCTCAACACACATCTTTTTCGGTCTCCGTTGCTCCCTTATTCCTGACACGTTTTCCTGTCCTAACGGCCCGGTGCCTATGTTGCACATACTTGTGTCCGGATGTGCACTTTCACTTTGCCTTCTGTTCTGGGTTCCCACTGCAGTCTACTGCGGATGCCCGGCCCGGTCGTGCACCTTGTGTATTGTGACAGGACCCAGCTCACATCTACTGCTATTTCTGTGACACAACTTCCTTTGCTCCCCCTTTGGGCCTCTCCTGATAATCTAGTGTCGGTGGGACTGAAGCAGATCTTTCTGTGGCTCCTAGTCTGAGGATGCCGCATTGCATTATCCAGAAACAGACAACCTGGTTCTCACTGTTGTGCAGAGAGGGCCCTTGGGCTTGAGTTCTCAAGCACCTGGGTTTCGTTCTGCACCCACTGGGTGTCACCATTACAAAAAAAAAGGGGCCTGCCTTCCACACTGTGACCTTCATGCCCTTCCCAGAGCCTTTCTCGCCCTTGGTTTTATTTGCTAGACATTCTTTATTTCTGAGTTTGTAGCTTAAAATATTACTGGAACTTGGTGCTTATTCCCTGAGAGACTTGAACTCACATGAGCTGTCTGGCTCATGGCCTGTACCTCGGATCTCCCAACCCGCGGACACTTCCCAGGAAAATTGTTCAGCAGCGTTCCTTTCTGTTCCTGGTGACAAAGGAAACTGCCTTGTCCCTCCCGAGTCCCCTGCGCGTCCTAGGATCGCTCTTCTGGCTGTAATCCCTCTCGGCCCCTTTTTCTGTGCTTTTCTGCTGTGAGCCACCCGCCTGCGATCGTGCGTTCTGGGGAGAGTGGTGGAAGAGAAGGGCAGGTGGTCGGCTCCCAGTGGCTCCATTTTCACGTGTTCCTGTTTATCAGTGTCTGGTCTCTATCTCCCTCCCTCCTTCCTTTTTTCTCTTCTGACAAGTGTTGGAGGTGAGACTGGGAGGATGCTGAAGACATTTTTTAAAAACCACTTTAACAAAAGACAGCCAACATTGTATGAAGCTTGTGACATTAAAAAGTCAAGGATTAAGAAAAGGGCTGATAATTTCTTTTTATTCTCCTCCCTGTGTTTTGTACGCTAGTCAATGTTCATTTTGATGAATAATAGAAACCTGCTTGGTTAAGCTTAAGCAAAAAAAGGAATTTATCAAGTGGGAATTAACAGAACGATAAAGAACCAAACTGATAAAAAAACAGGGGTAGGCAGGGCAAAGGGATGATGGTCGGCAAACTCATTAGTCAACAGAGCCAAATATCAATAGTACAACGATTGAAATTTTTTTTTGAGAGCTAAATTTTTTAAAACTTAAACTTCTTCTAATGCCACTTCTTCAAAATAGACTCGCCCAAGCCATGGTACTTTGTGGAAGAGCCACACTCAAGGGGCCAAAGAGCCACATGTGGCTCGCGAGCCACAGTTTGCTGACCACTGGTAGGGCATCGCTCATCTATCTGCTGTTAAACACTGTGTTGTCCAATGGGCTGCGGTCTCTACTGTAGCAGTGAGGTGTCTCCAACTGCCCCCATGCTTTCTTTCCAATTCCCTGCAAGTTTGGGTGGAAGCACCTGATTGGCTGTTCTTAAGTCATGTGTCTACATGCTAGATGCTGTGTTATTTGCTAGCTGATCAATATTTTTTGTTTGTAGTTCAATGCAGGTCACAGAGACTGTCAGTAAAGACACTTATACGGTTAAGCAAAGGATGCCTCTATGTCCACTGAAACCCACCCAGTTGGTACCCATCGGAGCCCCTCAGTGCTTATGGACTGTCCACTCATTCCAAGTAAAGACCCGAAGCAGCAAATAACTTTGCACCGAATGCTTCTTTCAAATTTCTTAAAATGACCTTTTCCGAAGTCCTTTCCTTCTTCAGGGTCATTGCTGCAGCTCAGTGCTTGCCCCACGGCATTGTATCTGGCTTCATTATCTGAAATGCATGGGTGTTTCAAACACACGTGGAGGCACTTGAGGTGCTGCACCCCCCCCCCCCAGCAAAACGACCTCTGTGAATTTGGGGAGATCGTCCCCCGTAACCACCAGACAAACGTGAATGGTGGGGGAGACACTGCGCACGTCCTCCACGCTGCGCTGACGGTAACGTGCCCTGCGCGGAGGCCAGCCCAGCCCGCCTCCCACACCTCGGTGCAGTCTCACCCCGCTGGGTTGGAGGCCCGCGGCTGAAAGGGGGCTCTGTCCCGACAAGGAACCTATGGTTTCCAGACTTAAACGTCTTTGTTGGAACCCGCTCTGGAAGAGTTGCCTGCGCTGCCACCTTGGAAAGAGCGTTTCTCTGTGCTTTCAGCTGCGGGCGGAGGGCGGCCGTGAAAGGGGGTTCGTTGGCAGTTGAGTTCCACCAATGTTTTCTCAAGCCGAGACTGAGCTCCATTCATCCTCGTGCCTGTGTGTGGCTCCGGAGGGGCCAGCCAGGCAGCTCGAAGTCTGCCTGGAGAACTTGATCCCCTAATGTAATGATTAAATTTTAGTAAGTGAAATAAAAATGTTTCAGGGGGAAAAAAAGAGAGAGAGAGAGAGAGAGAGAGAGAGAGAGAGAGAGAGAGAGAGAGGAGAGAGAGGGAAAGTGCAGAACAATACTTGTTTTATTTAACTATGAAGAGTTTCTGACAGCACCCCCTTCCCCACAGGATATGAGAACCCTTGGGCCCCAGCAGCCCCGCCCCAGGGACCTTGCAGCAGCATTTGGCCGGGGGTGGGGGGCTCTAATGTAAACAGCGACCCTGAAGCCCCGGAGTCGGCTCCCCCTTCTTTCTCCTGTCTCCCCTTCTCTCCTGCCACCTCGCCCCCAGCCCCACCTCCCCAGACAGGCACACACAGAACACTGAGCAGCTTCAGGTTCAGGCCGGGAGGAGAATAAAGGTGCTTTGTGAAGGGAAGCAAAAACATTCCTGGGGGAGGTAAGGGGCCCGGGGCATGAATGTGCCCTCAGTCTGGGCCGATGCTGCACACCCAGCTCCCTGTTCCAGCGCACCCAGGAGGGAGGTGCGGGGCGGAGGGCCCAGCCCCCAGCCAGGAAGCTCTGGGCGTGGGCAGGGCTTGTGGGAATGATTTCATTGGAAAGGCCTGCGATATTTTTTTTCCTTTCCCGTGTGTGTGGTTCTTGGAGAAAGTTGGAGGTGGTGGTGATTTCAGTTGCCTCGGCCGCGGGAGAGCAGGAGCTGAGCAGAGGCACCGGGCCGGCAGCGCTCGCCAGCAGCCCGGCTCTGGGCCCTTCGACCATGCCCGGGGCCAGCGCGCCGCCTCCGCCTCCGCCTCCGGGGCCCTGGCCTGCCTTCGTCTGCGCTCCTCTTCCTCCCCCTCACGCCACCCTCGCCACCACCTCTCCGGGTCCTCGGTGTGCAGGGTCCTTTTTCAGCTTTTCTTTTTGGAGAAAGACTTTGGAGGGGAGCGGATGTCACCTAACGGCCCACCATCTCCTCTACAAAGAGCCCAAATGTGGAAACGAGTTGGCGTTTTTTAGGTTTATCTATCGATTTATTTTTAACCAGCGGCGTGTTTTTTTTGTGTGTGTGTTTTTTTTTAACCTCTGTGTTCTGCTGTTTCTTGTGTTTAGTCTTCGAGTGGTTCAACCGACCATGACCCACTGGGCCCCCTCCCTCCCGGCTGGGGTAAGTACCGAGTCCCACGTCTGTCCCTCCGCCTCCCTTCGCTGGTGCTGCACCGTGCTCCCTGCGAGTCCTCCTCTCTCCCCTCCCTCGGTTTCCCAGTTCACTTCTTTCCAGCACGCTCTGTGGGGCTGCCCAGCCAGAGAAGTTGCAGGCCACGGAGCGGGGAGGCTGGGAAAGTGACGGAGTCCCACTGCCCTGTAGCATTCACCCGCCAGAGCGGAAGGAAGTCCCCCAGCGGCTGTGGTACTGTTGGGTTTCGGTCCTGACTTTCAAGGTGTCTTCCCAACAACCACCCATCCTGTCACCGTTGACGTGGCTGATTCCCAGATGCGTTTATTTCAGGTCTGTGGCGTGTGACTGAAAGGAGCTACTTTTCCAAACCTTTCTTTACAGCTGAGATGTTGGAGGACTGAGAGCATCTAGCTCAGCCTCATTTAGGGAGACATGGACTCGGGAACATTCGGGAACATGCCCAGGGTCAGGGCAGCTGAAGAGATGGGTGCTTAATGCTGAGATGCTCCGACCCCTGAGCTAACGGAAGCCACCTTTTTTGGGGGGGACACAGGCTGTGAAAGGGGCCGGAGGGAAGCCGCTGAGCGACGGGTGGGGACTCTATTAAAATACGCCATTGCTAGTTAACGGCATCATGCTGGCTTCTCCTCGTCATCGACAGCTGCCTCTCACCTAAGTCTTTGGTGTGATTTGCAGTGATGAGATAGATGGACCTGAGAGAAATTACAGACTTTATGGCTCTTCTGGGATGGAATGGTCACGCAAAGAGGGGTCATCAGAGATGGCGAGGCTGGGTGCTTTCCGCAGCTCTCTGAGCTGGGTCGGGATTTTATTTTTCTTCAGCTGGCAAGAGTTCCTGGGAGCGAAAGAGGACCGTGTAGCAGGAACTGGCCTGTGTTGGGTTTAATTGATTGGTTAGGCCGGCAGGAGGCAGTAAACGCAGGTTTGGTGGTGTTCACAGATGGTATTCAGTTGGGCGGGGGCATGCTCCCCAGCAAAGACGGAGAAGCTGACAATGACAGGATGCACATGGGAGCCTCTGGGTGCAGACACGGCTGCTCCCTGGTAGTAATTTACAAAGTTGCATCAACCCCCTGGGACCCGCAGGGTATCACTTACTGAATCACCACAGCATTCGGGCCGTCCTCGTCCCTCCTGGTGGGATATGTCAGTCAGGGAGGCCTCTGCACAATTGATTTTCCACTAGAGAATCCACCTCGCTCCCTGAGCCGCTGAAAGGTCATTGCTGTCTCAGAGACTGGCAGCGAGTCAGAGGTGGGGGAGTCCCGCACAGGATCCCTGTCTAGATAGGGGGAAACTCAACAGATTAAACCAGAACCTGGAATGCTGTTTGGCAGCCAGTAGACACTGTGGCCTGGAGCTGGGGGCTCAGAGTGGCACCTTTCTCCGTAGTGTCAAGTAATTTATTTCTGTGCCAGTCTTGCTAAATGATGGTCACCAAGTGAGGGTGTAGCTATAAGGACTTGCAAACAGTTCCCAGAAGCCACGTGTGACATATCTAAGATGGGACTCGGAGCCATGGTTGGAGTCGGTGCTGTTTACAAATGATGAGGAAAACACGACAAAACTAAATGGTATGTGACCGAGAAGAGAGAGCATCTGGCCGAGGGCCCGGGGGCCTCCCTAACCGAATCCTTCGGGCTCTGTGCTGGCCTCTCCAGGGCCGGTGCAGGGCATCTCCCCAGGGAGAGCCGAGACTGAGCAGGAAGAACAGCAGAACTAAACGAGAATTGCCTTTAGCACGAGCCTGCTGTCGGGTCTGCCGTGTCCTCCTGGTCTCAGTCCTGCGTGACAGACCATGACAGACCCCGTGGTCCTTCCTGAGCATCCGCTCAGGGGTCGGGGCATCTGCCCCACATCTCCTCAGCTTCCCTGATCCCTGGACACGCGCCCGAATGTCCCCGAGTCCATTTCTCCCTAAATGAGGCTGAGCTAGATGCTCTTAGGACTCTCCAGCCCCAAACCATGAAATTGTGTGCAGCAGAGCAGTTCTGAGGGACCACACCAAGGCTGCCCGCCCCGTGCAGGGAGCTGTGCCAGAAGCAAGGGCACAGGCCTCAGACCTACTGGGCAGATCCCGCAGCCTGGCGGTGAGCGCTGACTGAGGCCCAGGCGGAGCAGATGTGGAGGGTCCAGCTGAGAGCAGAAGCCTCTGGCTGGGGGCCCTTCCCTCCCGCAGGTCCCTCTCAGAAAGCCTTCTGAGGTGGGCGTAGCTCTGTAGCAAATTCCTTCTCTTGACTCCTTTTGTTTGCGTGTTTTTTATCGATGAATGGATACCAGGTAAGATAGACAGAGACCAAGACCTGGGGTTGGTATTGGGAATGTTGCAGCCTGACACTTGAGGGGAGGGGATAGGGGCCCCCCCCAGTTCTGCTCCTTTTTGATTTTTGGTTTCCCTGTTAGGTTCTGGAACGGATTGTCTTTATTTCTTTAATTTTCCCCTGTCATCATAAGTGAGAGGGGGCCATTAGCATCATTTGTTCTCAAGGCCATTAGCATCATTTGTTCTCAAGGCAGAAACAGATTTGAAGGCCCAGAAACTTTCTGGGGAAGGCGACCTGTCTGGGTTCAGAGTTCTGCCTTCCATCCACCCAGAGCTGATGGGGTGACCCTTTCATCTTCTCCAGGGCCTGGAGTCCCCACTAGAATCTCCTGAAGCCCATTCCCTCCCTAAAGGACCCCAGGCCATCCTCAGAGCACAGGCAAAGGGCAAGAGAATGTCTGAGCTCTCCCAAACAGCAGGACGCATGCCCTGAGGTGTGAGAGCTAGAAGGGCATTGTAAGTGCCGCCATTTATTTGCACATAAGTAACATAGAGAGTGAGAGTTTTAGAACAAAACTTTGCCTCTGAGGAGAGAAAAGATAAGTAGAGGGTAGGTGGAGTACTGATCAGAGAGTTATGAGAGCAATGCAACCCCCACAGACGCCTCCATCCCTGCAACTGGTGGGCAGAACGCTTGCAGGACCAGAGACCAGCTGTCAGGGACTTGGTGAGGGCGGTGGGGCATGGGTGAGGGCCTCCACTTTGCACACAGCTGGATGCAATTAGGCCTCTGCTTTCAGCTGGGCTGCTGCCCCTCAGTGTTGCCACACTGTGCCCTCCCTCTCCCCTCCCCTGCTCTCCAACCATCCAAAGACGTGCTTGATCCTGAGCTGGAAATGTGTCTGTCCCTCCACCACTCCCCACTAAGGAAAGATTCTCTTTGTCCCCTTTGCCAGTGACAGATGGGCACGAGCCAGGCTTTTATTGGTTAAACTTCTCTCGCAGGGCGGGAGCGGCGGCGGCAAGCCAGACCCCAGCACCTGGAAAGGGGCACCCGGAGCCGCAGAGAACAGGGCTCAATATGTCCCGATCTGACTGTCCTCTTTTCCTTCTCCTCCCTGGCAGAGAAGAGACAAGACAACGGACGGGTGTATTACGTGAACCATAACACACGCACCACCCAGTGGGAGGACCCTCGGACGCAGGGGTAAGGGCTCGGGCTGGGAGGGGGCCCTGTGCGGCTCCAGCAGCGGCCGAGTGGCCTCTAGGGCCAGTGTCCTGGGACCTTCAGCCACACACAAGTGCCTGGAGACCCTCATGATGCAGAGTCAGCTGGCTGAGAGCGTAAAGGGGCTCCTTAAATGGACTTTTCCTGGTAGCTGTGTTGACTGTGTAAGCTGCTGATAACATGATTTCACACTGTGCTCCCCCCACCCCTGCTGAGGGTGCCTCAGGATGACTGGTGGTCTCTGAGGGCTGGTTCTTTGGCCTTGGGACAGTAAATGACCTCTCTGTTCTGCAAAACTGTCCTCATGACTTGGGTGGTACCAGGTACAGTTCCTTAAGGAGAAGCTTTGCAGAGCCTGGGTGAAAGCAGAGAGAATGAAGCACTTTGGGGACCCCATCCTCCTAAGCATCGAGGCCCAGAAGATGGGGCCAGCCCTCACCCCGTTCTTCCCGTGTCTGCAGGATGATCCAGGAGCCAGCTCTGCCCCCAGGGTGGGAGATGAAGTACACCAGCGAGGGCGTGCGCTACTTCGTGGACCACAATACCCGCACCACCACCTTTAAGGATCCTCGCCCAGGGTTTGAGTCAGGGTAAGGACTTGCCACAGGCGACAGCCGTATCCATGTTCAGCTGCTCTCACTGCCCTCTAGCGGCCAGTTTCCATGTCACCTTAGCAGGGCTGGGGAGGGAGGGGGCCCCCCAGTTATTCAGAGTAACATCAGCGGCTTCCTCTTTCTCCCAAAGCAAAAATCTGTCTTTATTTCTAGGTTTTTTGTTTGTTTGTTTGTTTTACTTCTCAAATCTATCAAAGATAAAGGCAGTCACTTCCTTTCACCCTTCTTTAATATAGCACCAGCTGTCCTTAGGACGAACAGATACGTTGCTAATTTTTGAGAATTCCCTGATTCCAGAACTTCTTTGCTCTTCCCAGGACGAAGCAAGGTTCCCCCGGTGCCTATGACCGAAGTTTCCGGTGGAAGTATCACCAGTTCCGTTTCCTCTGCCACGTGAGTTCTGGTCCTGGGCCGTCCCCCGCAGGTTGGAGCGGTGGATTCATTCCAGCTCCATCTCCCAGCCCAGCAGCAGCCTGGTCAGCTGGGAGGCAGGCCACCGATCCTGTTTGCCGCTGTTTGACCTTGTCTCCAGGGAGCCAGCTCCCATTTCTAGGGACCAGGCTCCCCTCTCCCGGCCCAGGGAGACAGGGGAGGCCAGACTGAATCATTACCTCCTGAGGCCTGATTCAAGGTTTGTCTTTTCTCCTTTCAGTCAAATGCCCTCCCCAGCCATGTGAAGATCAGCGTTTCCAGGCAGACGCTTTTTGAGGACTCTTTCCAGCAGGTTAGAAATCAATTACGGTATCTGCCTAAGTCCAGAGGCCAGTGCAAGGCCCCTTCCCACTCCCCATCTTCTGTCACGTGGCCTATTAAACCCACACAGTAGAGTTTCCAAGGCCTGGGCCTCGGTGAGTGGTGTCTGTCCCCGGCCCACTCCCCCCCCCCCCCCCCCCCGTTGCCATGAAGGGAGAGTGGCAGGCTGGCCACGATGCTCTGTCTCCCCAGATCATGAACATGAAACCCTACGACCTGCGCCGCCGGCTCTACATCATCATGCGTGGCGAGGAGGGCCTGGACTACGGGGGCATCGCCAGGTGAGCTCGGTGCCCCCCCTTCCCCGGGGTCCTGGGCCTGTGGCTGGAAAGCTGCCCCCTCCCTGCTCAGACTGGTTGCAGCGACCTTCCACTTCTTCAGGAGAGGGCACGGGTACGGCCAGTTCGAATGCTGCAACCGGGTCCCAGGGTTCCCTGCGGGGCTGGGCACTCCCCTTTAGTTGCTGGGTCCTGGGGGCCCCAGAGGGAGGGCTCAGGGCAATGGCTCTTTTACCAACCCACCTGTCATGATCTGTGTACTTGAACACCATCTGCCGCCCCGGTGGGCAGGCAGCAGCCAAATATCGGTGCCCCGTGGCCGTCCATTAAAATCGCCCCTGGACTTCTCCTACTTTCAAGGCCGCTGGGGCAGGTGAAGTGGGGCATCTTGGTACATACCTGGCATGGACGAGCTGTGTCACAATCCAAAGGGCCTTGACCAGTGTTCAGCCGCATGTCACCCACGCAGAGCCAGCACAGTTCACACGGCTGACACAACCCCCAAAGGAGCCCCGAGCATCGTTTCTCCCTCACCGTAGCCCACCTGCAAAGGTTAGCCGACTCTCTAGCTAAAACGTCGCCGTGGACGATGGGGCTGAAGGGCCCCGGCAGAGAGAAGGAGTGCCTCAGCCCGCGGTGACCGCTCAGCTCACTCGCCTATCTCGGCGTGGGGACATCTCGCTTGGCGTTGGGCTAACTCGCTGCTGGTCCTCTGTTGGTTGGTGGCTTTGCCCTCTGTGTTGTCTCCGGTGGATCGATGGCTGTCTTTCCCGTTGGTGACCTCCTCTCCAGGCTCTGCTTGGTGGGCTTCTGGTGTGGCTCCCCGCCCTGTGTGTGTCCGTCTCTCTGTGTCCTGCCAGTGGTTTTACCCTATGGTAGGTTACGTCATGCTGTTCTACCACAGGGTAGAACCACGGACAGGATACCGGGGCACCCTCTGCATCGAAGGACTCCTCGTCTGCCTGGCCACAGACAGCCCAGCAGCCGGGGACTGGCCACGTCGGGGTGTTCCCCTGTGGGTTTAGCGGAAGCCCAAAGGGACTCTTGAATTCCGGTTGAGGCTTGTACCTAAGAGACGCTAAGGCGTGGGTGCCGGTTCAGGTGAATGTACAGAAGCACGAGCACGGGTCTGGTAATGGGGCCTGGGGGGGGGGCGAGAGGGCAAAGGGCCAGGGAAGCAAGATCTTTGCGGTGGGCGTGAGGGTTATCATCCACAGGCAGCGTGGATCTCAGTCCACGCATCGGAGGCGGGAGTGCGTTAGCATGTGTCCGTGTCACGCTGCCTGCTCAGGCACCACCGCAAGAGTTGGAAAAAAGATGCCTTTTTTTCAAGACACTTCCATGTTGGAAGATGGTCGCGATATTCTGGCTCTAACGGAAAGGAACGCCTTGGCTGCAGGAAAATCGTTGCGATAAATGTGCAAGTCTGTGCTCTTTTACCATAGTTCCCTTGCGTAGTGCACAGCCTGCCCAGCTGTGCCTGGTGGCCCCAGGGTGCCAGGGGCCCGTTGCCATTAAGACGTAAGGTCCCCGGATGCCCACCCGGAGCTGACTCACGTTTTCCTGAGCGTCACCCTCAAGCGCGGCCGTCGTCCTCGTTCGCCCTGGGTGTGACCTCACCCTGCCCACTGACCTGCTGTTACTTCAGCTGCTGGCTCGCCCGCCCGCCCGCCTGGGACCCGTGTCTCCAGAGCCACTGGGAAGGACGGCAGAGGAGCCGCACGCCTCCAGCCCTCGTGCAGGGGAGGATCCACTAGTCCTGTTTTTTTTTTTCTCTCTCTCTCTCTCTCACAGAGAGTGGTTTTTCCTCCTGTCCCACGAGGTGCTCAACCCCATGTATTGCTTATTCGAATACGCCGGGAAGAACAATTACTGCCTGCAGATCAACCCCGCCTCCTCCATCAACCCCGACCACCTCACCTACTTCCGCTTCATTGGCAGGTTCATTGCCATGGTAAGGCTCACTGCCACGAGGCCTGCCGGGAGCGGGGGCAGCCGAGGAGCCAGACCCTACACGCCACTAGCAGCCCCACTGTCACCCTCACGGAACTAACTGAACATGCAAAAAGCCAGAGAGAGTTCGGGACCCAGTTTGGACTTCTCTCAGTGCCCACCCAGGGGACGTCGAGAGGGTTCCCATGGTGATCTGTGGAGGACTTGTCAAGCGAAAGCCAGGGCCCTGGGTCGCGGGCTTCACAAGTGCTCTTTTGAGGGTGTTGGGATGACGCGCTGAGCACACCTTTAACTGCCCACCTCTGGGGATGCCACCGTCTGTCACAAGCCCGGGGTGGGGCACTTGGGACTGTCCTGCTGTGACACTGGCCTCTGTCAGGGGACACGGAACCCTCACCGGCTTAGAAACAGACCCTGGTAGACAGAGTGGTGCCAACGGAGGAGGCATCTGCCAGGAGCTGGGCAGGGTAGGGAACGGGGGGGGGGGGGGGGGGGCGGCACGCATTATCTGTACTTATCTAGAAACAGGAGCATAACGTGGACAGGGAAGGGGGTCCTGTCACGTGCCTCCAGTTGAGAATGTCTTCCGAGGGTGGAGAACCGGGACTGAGGAGGGAGCCCATGGGAGCCACGGCCCCGCTGCCATATTTGGTAGTTGATGTTTCACTGCTGACTTTCCTTCGCCCTGCTCCGCTCTCGGGAGGACCCAAGAGCCCGTGTCTAAATATGTCCCTTCCTCTGGTCTGGAGGTTTCTGGCCAAGGTGTCGGGCTCAGGAAGTGGGCACATTTTTCCCAGGTCCAGAGATCCGCTCGGCCCGGCAGCCGCCAGGCCAGTAAAACCCCTAGACTATTACTCACCACTGGCCCGCCAGCCCTCGCCGTCAGCGGCGTCTGCGTTATTTTTGGCTGCCGGTGCTGCCCGGCTCCGAGCTGCCACCGGGAGCTGTGCCGGGCGCGTCTCCTCTGTGAGTGTGGGCACGTCTTGGCTACAGCAGGGAGCCGGTGTGCCGGGCAGGCAGCGGGCCCCAGGTGGGTCCCCGTGGTCTGCAGGTCCGATGAGGGCCTTGGGGCCTGGAGCAGCTGGATGCGCGGTGCGCGCTGGACACAGGGCAGCTGACGGTGACCGGGCTCTGCTGCAGAGCGCCCTGGAGCCGGCCTGCAGGAATGCAGGAACACAAACCTCCGCTGTGTGTCCCCCCGCCCCAGGCTCTGTACCATGGAAAGTTCATCGACACGGGCTTCACCCTCCCTTTCTACAAGCGGATGCTCAACAAGAGACCGACCCTGAAGGACCTGGAGTCCATTGACCCCGAATTCTACAACTCCATCCTCTGGATCAAGTGAGTCCCCTCGCTCGCCTCGCGTTGGGAGGAGAGGGATCTCTGGTTGGGAGTAGGTACCCACCGCCTTTATTTTCTCTGCTGCAGTGGCCTCTGGGCCTTCCCCGGGCTGTCTGAGTGTTTGTGGAGAGGCTCAGCTTCCAGGTGCCCGTGGGGCAGCCCCGGAAATCTCTCCTCCCTGCAGGCCGGCTCCAGGGCGCTCTGCAGCAGAGGCCCGTGCCGCTGTCCTGGGTCCTGGGCCGCCTAGGCGTCCGCGTGTGCCCCGGGCACTAAAGTGAGCGGTGGAGCAGGATCGCGGGAAGTCCCTTCTGAGAGAGATGTCTTCCCTCTTGTGCTCTCGTGCCCCCAGAGAGAACAACCTAGAGGAGTGCGGCCTCGAGCTGTACTTCATCCAGGACATGGAGATTCTGGGCAAAGTGACGACCCACGAGCTGAAGGAAGGTGGCGAGAGCATCCGAGTGACGGAGGAGAACAAGGAGGAGTACATCATGTGAGTCTCAAGCGCCGGGAGGCGGGTTGGGGGTGCGGGAGCAGAGACAGAGCAGCTCAGGCATGGCCCACAGGGGTCACAGAAACTCCCATTTTGCACGGCCTTCAGCTGGCGGCCTGCGGATGGTCACACGCTGACCAGAGCTGGGGGAGCGAGCGCCCAGCGCCCTGTTGCAGCTCCCATTTGCTCTATGGTTTCCCACGTGGTGGACGTAGAGCTGCAGCGCTCTTTCTTCAAAGAGTCCTGACACTCGGACATCTTTCTCTTCTTTCTCCCAACTGGAAGGACTCCTGGTCCTGTGTGCTCAAACCCACATCTCACGTGTGTGTGTGCATGCATTCACACGTGCGTGTTCTTCTGGTCTCGCTCTAGTCTGTTAACATCCATATGTCTGAGGCTCAGGCCGCGACAGGAGGAGGAGGTGCTGGTGGTGATTTAAAAGACGTGCGTATCTCCGGGTTGCTGTGAGGTTACAGAGGTTCTGCTCTGGGGCGGCAGCAGCTGGGGCTCGCAGAGCCAGAATCGGGAAGTTGAGTCTCGGCAGATTCCTCCCAGGCTCCACCGACAGCCTGTCTTTGCTTTCAGGCTACTGACCGATTGGCGTTTCACCCGGGGCGTGGAGGAGCAGACCAAAGCCTTCCTAGACGGCTTCAACGAGGTGGCCCCCTTGGAGTGGCTGCGCTACTTTGACGAGAAAGAGCTGGAGGTGAGAACTGAGGTTGTTGGGACCCTGCCTTCCGGGGCGATCCTGCCCTTGGAGAGCCTCGCTGTGTACCCACAGAAAGGCCCAGCAGAACCCATGCTGCCCAGGACTGTAGCAACAGGCAAATCAATTTGACTTGGGTCCTCACACCCACCCCTCCCTGGGCCCTGGTGTGAGGGGGTCCATGTATAAGATTTGTGTTATCCATACGGTTAAAACCGCCAGCAGAGGTAGTTGGCAGGGCTTGGGGGGGGGTCCCCCTGCTGGCGGGGAAGTGCCGGCGCGCGGAGCTGACGCCCTTTCCCTCGCAGCTGATGCTGTGCGGCATGCAGGAGATAGACATGAACGACTGGCAGAAGAACACCATCTACCGGCACTACACCAAGAACAGCAAGCAGATCCAGTGGTTCTGGCAGGTGGGTCCTGCCTGGTCATCGCAGCCCACCAAGGGCACGAGACCTGACTAGACCTCGAGCCCAAGGACTCTGCTGTGTTCTCACCCACCCGACCTTTGGCACTCTCCTCCTCTCCCCCAGCAACTTGCAAAAAGAGATGAGAAGCTCAATCTCAGGACAGATGGAGCTGCTGCAGCTGGGGGGTGGCCAGTGCATTGGTCAGGAGTGTCGGGGGGGGGGCAGTTGGGGTAGCTCTAAACGCCAGTGTGCGGTAGGGGAGCCTGCAGACGGGAACGCTCCCATAGGTCACGTGGTTTCCTTCCAGCCACGTGGGACGGGAGAGCATTCAGAGAAACTCCTGTCTATAAGGAGTTGTGTGTGGGTGGTGGTGGAAGTATAGCAAATACACAAAAAGAGAATAGCTATATAGAAATGTTTTGGTTGAGGTGACATTCAACATACCATAAAACTCACCGTGTGAAGCATTTTAAAGTGTATAGTGCAGTGGCTTTGTGCAGCCATCATGATTAGCTAATTCCAGAACAGTTCATCCTCCTTCCCCCCAAAAAAAACAAACAAAAAAACAACAACCCTGTACCCACTTTTAAGCAGTCACTCCCATTTTTTAGTGTATCTTAAAAAGTAGACCTTAGAGAATTCCTGGCCTGAGGTGTTTCTGCGACAGCCATGCCCCATGGACTGATGGGAATGTTCTATAAACGCAGCCTCAGAGGGAGCAGCTTAGGGCTTTCCCAGGTGGGTGGCTGTCACCCCCAGCCGTCCGGGTTTTGTGTGCTTGGCCCCAAAGAGGAGAGTTACAGGGCCGGGTGAGGAGCTGAGCCAAGGAGTCACCTGACCGCTTCGACTTTCGGAGTTGCAGGTGGTGAAGGAGATGGACAACGAGAAGAGCATCCGGCTGCTGCAGTTTGTTACCGGGACCTGCCGCTTGCCCGTCGGAGGGTTTGCCGAACTCATTGGTGCGTCTTCCCTTGCCCTGCTGGCACCCCTGGGTGGGGTAGGGGTGGCTCAGGGAGGGTGGGACCTTGTGACTTCCTGGAAGCAAGTCCGTGGGAGGGGCAAGAGCTGTGGCCTCCGCCTCCCGGGCTGAGGATCTGTGGACAGAGCCAGGCGGTCCTGCCTCAGGAAGGGACAGTCCTGTAACAGAAGATGCGGTTTTTTTTTTTTGGATAACAGGTAGCAACGGACCACAGAAGTTTTGTATCGACAAGGTTGGCAAGGAAACCTGGCTGCCCCGAAGCCATACCTGGTGAGCCCGCTGGTTCTCCTGGGATGTGGCTGGAACCTTACAGAGCTGATGCGCCCCCGAGGGCAGCCCACAGACGGGGCAGCTTTGGGGCCTTGAGTCCAGCAGCTTTCGCATGTCTGCGGGTATCGGGCTGGAGGGAGGGGCTGTGATAATGCCAGCCGCCTTTGTCTGGGTCTCTGATCTGTCAGGAACTGTGGCAGCAGACATCCCGCTGGCAGTCATGTTGGGAACTATTATAGATATTGAAGCACTTACATTCCAGCGGGCAAAGAGCTGCTGTCCCAAGTGCCCTCTTGCCTACTTCCCCATCTCCCCAGCTGCCTGGCCTCTCTCCTAACCCCTCTGTGGCCCAAGGACCTGAAGCATTAAGGCCCCAGGAGCAGAGTCCTAATTCCACAGCTCACCAGCTGGTGGGTGTGGTGGTCGAGCCACCGTCGCCTAAACGCTCTTGAGCTCTTGACCCTCCTCGGCCAGCAGCCCCGAGCTTCCCGTGCTGACCGTCCCCACCCCTCTCTCCACAGTTTCAACCGCCTGGATCTCCCGCCGTACAAGAGCTATGAACAGCTGAAGGAGAAGCTGCTGTACGCCATCGAGGAGACGGAGGGCTTTGGACAGGAGTAACTGAGGCCGCCCCCTCCCGTGCCCCCGCACACACGTAGTCACGAGTCCTCCCCGCCTGAGAGGCTGCTGGCCGCAGCCCCGGGAGGCCCCGCGGATGGTGGCCCTGCGTGGGACCACCCTGTCATCGGGCTGTGGGCAGCAGAGTCCGACCTCAGGAGGCCCTGCCCGCCTCCCCCTCCTTCCCGCTGGTGACAGTCTGGAATAAAGCCCCTTCGTCACCTCAGCCCCACACCTGCTACAGCCTCAAGGGCTGACCCTCAGTGAAGCCCACTGAGCTTCCTTCTCCCCTACGGCCAACCCCAGGTGTGCGTGAGTGTGCCAGGGCGGGTGTTTGTGCCCGGGGCTGCAGCACAAGCCGAGGGTCTCGTGGGCTTGTTAGGCGAGAAGGAGACTGGCCGCTCGGGGTTGCTGTTGGGGTCTTTGCCAGTAAAAAGAGGTTCTGTGTTAAATAGAACTCTTCTGGTAATCTGTATAAAGCAAAGGTCTGAGAACGAGAAGCTCTTCTCCCCCTCCCCGCCTCCTCCCGAGCTCTGGGCAGAGGCTGCCTGGTTCCTTCCCGCAGGCTCAGCCGTGGAGGCGGAGCAGCGAGGCCGGCCCCTCTCCCGCAGGGCTGGCCGGTTCACCCCTCCCAGCCCGCCGAGGCCTGTGCCAGCTGCGTGGGTGTCGGTGGGACGGAAACAGCCAACTCGGACTTCCTTTCCCTTTCCCTAAACTTGAAGCATTTTGTGTGTCGGGTTGCTTCGTATCTTGCTGCCGGCCATTGTGCCGCTGTCACTCTCTGTCAAGGAGCTGGTGCACCGTGGGTCCAAGAATTCCCCCAAACAGCTGCTCCTCTTAGCAGCCGGCTTAGCAGTTCTGTGAGCTCAGGCAGCTCAACCCCACAGCGGCCTCCTCCCCGGGCCTTGACAGAGAGGGAAGGGGTGGCGCCCCCCCCCCCCCCCCCAGGAGAGAACGAATGCCCTCTGGCAGATGTAGTCACCCAGGCTGTGGGCCTCCAGGCGGGTCGCTTAGTCCCGTCTTGAGAACGAAGGGCATCCCGCCAGCCTAGAGCCTGGAAGTGAGGCTTTGTCTGCACACAGGAGACGATGCTCTTGGAAGGGCCTGAGCTGCCGCCACGCTAATGACTTGATTTCTGGAGCCCCTCGGGGCTCCGTCCTGGGCATTCTGGGTATTGATACCTTCAAGGACACGCTCCTCTGGGGCTCTGGAGCCATGATGGTCATGAACTTCCCGACCCAGCCCCTGTGTTCCAGCGCCGAGCACCAGCTGCAGACTAGCTCTAGCTTCCTGGGACCCCGGGCAGGCCCCCAGGCCGGTATTGGGCCTTCCAAGGATAGTTTTGTGTCCCCAGATCTGTGTCCTTTCCCCCGGCCCGTGCAGGGACAGCCGTGTGTGCTGTGCTGGCCGTGCTGGTTGAATGGCTCCCGGAGTCACTTGCTGTGCTTCCCCCGCAGCAGCTCGCCACGTCAGAGGGCGGGATGCGAGCTGCCGTGCGGAGTTTGGAAGCCTCAGGCTCATGTGTGTTCATGTGCGTGTGTGTGTGTGTACATGCGTGTGTGTACATATAACTGGTGTCTACAGAATATCGTTTGGTAGCTCTGGGTTGGCCATCTGATTGTTTTGTAATGCCCAGCGCCTTGCCTCGGGATTGCCAGTTTCTTGTGCAATAAACAGTCAGCAGCTGTGGGTGGTGTTGGCGTGTTGTCTCCAAAATCATGGTCCCAGATGAGATGGCTCTGGGCCCCACAGCCCCTCCAGGTCCGGATGGGGCAGCGGTCCCATGACCTTGCTGGTTTTGAGAAACATGTGCGTCGTTAACCAAGACAGCTACACTCCTGTTGGGTGGCCGCGTCCAGGGCCAGGGGTCACTGGCTTCAGCCCTCGGCCAGTTGCCTCACTGCACCCTTTCGGCATCCTCAGCCTCTCCCAACAGGCCGGGGCTTCTCTGAGCACCAGGTGAAGCTGCAGGTTGGACAGGCTTTGGAGACCTGGGGATAGCGCTCTGGGCAGTTACTTATTCCAGAAACATTTCTTGGTGTTTCTTCAGCTTCGTGATAGCGGGACTCCCTGGCCTTCAATTCCTGGTCATACAAGGGCTTGCCACCTACTTTTTTGAGTACTAAGGACATCAGACGGGACCGATTCCAGGCTGATGGGTCTCAATGCATTCAACACCGAGATGACTGTCATGGATGGAGCCTGGCCCTGACGGCGCTGCTTCTCAAGGGAGGCAGATATTGTCGGACGGGCTCCTTCCTGGAGTCATCAGCTGAATTCACTGTCCTCCCGCCCATCCCCGACAGGGTAGTGCTAGACTTTGAGAAAAACATTGACAGAAGCCCACATGCTATGCAGACATCCCCCAATAAATTCAAGTAAGACATGCTCCAGTGGAAATTGTTCTCCTCATTCTTACCCCGGAGGTGACTGCTGTTCTGTTTGCTGTGGTCCCTCCAGACTATTTTATGTGCATATGCAAATCATAGGTGCATATCATTGTCAAATAGACTAAAATTGAGCTCTTATATGTTGAAACACTTGCTTGCCTCATCAAACGAGCTGCCAGGGACACCTTTTCACATCCGTCTACATATCTCATTAATTCTTCGCTGCGTGATATTCTCTATTAACGGTGTTTTGGTAAAACACCCGTCTTCATCCCAGCAGGCATTGCCGTTGTTCCCAAGCTTCTGTGAGTGCCTTGGGCAGGTGTGCACTGAGGCTGCTCTTCCTGGAAGGGGCAGTGGTCCTGGAAGTTGGGCTGTTCATGATATGCCTTCGTTTTTAGTTAAAAACTTATTAAAGTTTTAAATTTTAAAGATAGGATTCTTGCTGGTTTGGCTCAGTGGATAGAGCATCCGCCTGCAGACTGAAGGGACCCAGGTTCGATTCCAGTCAAGGGCACATTCCCCGGCTTCCCATTAGGGGGTGTGCAGGAGGCAGCCAAACAGTGATTTTCATTATTGGTGTTTCTGTCTCTACCTCTCTGAAATCAATAAAAATATATTTAAAAAAAAATTTAGGGGGGGGGCAATGTTAAAATATGTACACAGCTAATAAAAAAAATTTAAAGATAGGAAAGGTCTACAGTGAAAGAAAGTCTATCTCCCCTCTGCCCCCCACCCTCACACACACACACACACACACACACACACACACACATACTTTCATTCTTTTGTTACTCAGTCACTCAATCACCTTCTAGAGACCACTATTACTGCTTGTTTCTTCTGGGCCCTTCCAGACATACTTGTTAAATCCCAACGATTTCTACCCAATTGTCCTTCAAAAAAGTCGTGTGTTATCAGCCTCAGCAATGGCCAGACCCCTGTTACCACACTGGGTGAACAGAATCTCCATCTGTCCTCACAGTTCTCCCTTTTCTAACTCTGGGCATCTGTCCTTTCACATGATCAGTGTTTTGTTTTGTTTTGTTTTTAACATTTACTCTACTGTGGAACCATAATGAAATTATTTTTTTTGAAGGCTTATTGGAAAAGCAACCAGAACATTTATAGTCCTATGATCATATAAACACTGTCTACCCCAGAAGTAATTAGTATAAAATCGGGCAACTCTTTCTTTCTCATAAGCTCTTTCACTCCATAGGGTCGAATGAAACCTGGAGCTCCCTTGCTTTTATTTTATCCTCTCTTTGATTTTATTACATCCCCAATTTTTTCTTTTCTTCTGACTCTGAAGTATTTCAAGTGAAACTACTTGGCAGGGAGTCCCCCTACCCCTACACACTAGAGTAAGTTCTGATATGATTAGCCAAAATGAAGAGCAGATATGTCTCCCTTTGTCACTCCAGGTCCCTAAGGGCCTCAGGTGCCAGTGAAATTTTGCATAAGGTGGGGTCTCCCTGGGTCTGGAAAGCTCAGTGCTAGCTTCCCTACTGCCCTTCACTATTAGGGCCCTTTGCTCTGCTAGAAAGACTCACCCCAATGATCTGTGTGCTTCCATTTAGAGGAATGTTTCTTAAAAGCTCTCCTGGTTCTCAACAAGGCCCTCGCCTCATCTTGGGGAAGGAAATGAAGTCAGTGCCCAAAGTTATTCCCTTAGCTCATTTCCCTACGGTCTACCTCTTCTTATTTTATTATTATTATTTTTTCAGCCTATCTCTTGTGTCCCGCTTTAAATACCGTTTTATCTATGTCCCCCTGACGGAGGTTGGTTTGAGTCCCCCAGACAAGCTCACGTTCCTGTAGTCCATGTGCACGAATTGGGCACCACTCAGGCCGGAGCATGTGACTTTTCATTGGCTATTTTCTATTATTTGTAGCCTGTGAGCATCAACATGGATTCAGGACCCAACTCCAAACCAGCTGGTCCCAGTGGCAATCATCTTTGGGTTTTGTTTGTTTGTTTGTTTTTGTTTTTGATGCTTGTTACAATTTTGGCCCCTTCCATTCGATTCTGTTTATCACCCCGCCGGATGTATTTGATGGTCTACAGCCGTGGTCAGCAAACTGCGGCTCGCAAGCCACATGCAGCTCTTTGACCCCTTGAGTGTGGCTCTTCCACAAAATACCACACCCTGGGCCAGTCTATTTTGAAGACGTGGCGTTAGAAGAAGTTTAAGTTTAAAAAATTTGGCTCTCCAAAGAAGTTTCAATCGTTGTACTGTTGGTATTTGGCTCTGTTGACGAATGAGTTTGCCGACCGCTGGGCTACAGGACATCCTAATCCCAAACTGTAGTTCTGTTGCCCCAACCACAGCGACAGCTTCTCCCCTGGGTGCCCTATCTCTCTTTGGTATAAAATAATATTAGAAACCAGGATGGGTTCCATCAAGACAGTACCGTGAATTCATGATTCGGTCAACCTCTCAGCTCCAGATACACAACATATGAAAAGCAAAGCAAAAGGGCTGGTTTAAAACCAGGATAAATAATTCCATGCACCAGAAACAGAACAAAATGCAAACCATTGAGCCAGACCGAAGCTGTGGGCCTGCTGCCCCCAGAGCTGGCAGCGGAGGCAGGAATTCAGCTGCT